TTTAATCTTGTTATAATGCTTGTACCATATCCGGTGTGTTTCCGATACTTGAATTCTTCATGGAAACCACTCCCATTTCTTAACATATATAATCTGGGTCCAAAATCCGGGCGGAAGAGGCTTGGAGCTGCTCCCCTCTTCGAAGGTTATCGGCTTCTTCTGTTTATTCTTCGCTTCTACGGACATTGGCGGATTTTTTATCAATCTCTTATCACGATAAAGGTTTAATATTCCTTACTGTTGCGTATTCACAAAACAAATCGACCTCCGGACAAACACTTTCGCTCTAAGCGCTTCATTTGGATAGATTTGATTGGAGTTTGATTACCCAACCAGTGAGCTCAACAAATAAATTATCTGGCAGTCTTTACTATTTCACGACAGCACCTCTGTACTTCCTCATTTCTTTGGACTAGTTTTTGCAGGAATTTTCGGAGTCTAGTGATCGACCAGAATTCGTGGCCCTTTTTTTGTTGGTAAACTTTGTCTAATATCCAAACTGGCAGTCTACTTTCGATAATAATTTCAATGCTGGAATGTTACAAATACTCATTCGTTGCTTCCAGTTGTCGAAGTATTCTTTCCATAGTTTCGATGGCTATTTTTCACTCTCGATCATATCTTTTGGTGGAGTACAACTCATTGCGCAGCGACTTTTTTATAGTAGACAAATTTCCAAATTTCTCGACCAAAACTTTTCTTATAACGTCGTAGTTTTCTAGAGCAATATCGTAGCTTTTGACAGCTTGTAGAGCTTTTCCTTTGAGGTATGAAATCAGATAATTTAATTTTTGGATATCGGGTATTTTTTGAAGATGCACTGCGACATCAAAGCTACCCAAAATTCTCTCCATAATTTCGGGTCACCACTGAATGTGGTAGTGGTAACTGTGGCAAATTTACTGTCTGCTGAGATACGTTGAGAAAGGAGCCCTCTTTTGTTGAAATAGTTCTGAGTTGCCCTGCTTTATTGTAGGGGCTGTACCGCTAGCTCAAACTCATCCTTGTACATATCTAGTGTAGCGAATATTGTTCGGGTTTGTTTGAGAGGGTGATGTAGGAGACCACTATTGCCAGCGATTTTACGGGAGATATCGTCGTTAAGTTGGATTGAGTTGATGCAAACACGATGAATTGAGTTGAGTTGTACACGC